TGAGTGGTGGGACACTGAGAAATGAATACTGTGCCAATTGCCTCTCACATTTGGGCGGGGAAATTGTAAGTTCTTTCAACATTGTCTGTATGTAAGATCAGAACTTCTAACTTCTAACCAAATACTACAATTTTTAGGTTGCTATGAAAACACCCAACCCACCCTATGAAGAAGAAAACTCCTTGCTCATGTTGTAAGTATTTTCGGACGCCAATTGCAAAGAAAGCTACTGGAATGAATTTTTTTTCCCTTGGCTTCTGATTTAAGAACCTGGATGAAGGGCTATACTGTGGTACTGGAATGGAGAGATGATGTCTGATGCTGATGACCACCTAATCCCGGCTATGAACATCCAAGATCCTTATCTTTTCTTAGAAGGATAGTTCCAGGACATCTGAATTGTAAAAATATGAGAATTGAGATGGTGAGTCAAGGAATTGCTTTTGTTGTTAGGTCTTTGAACGCAAGAAATGTGAGGTGTAATTGTGAGAATTGAGATGTTCGAGTAGTGGAATTGCTCCTGTTGTAGGACTTGTAACAGTATACAATACAGAATAAGGGAAACCTGAACTAGTCAGTGAGAATTTAGATGGTTAGTGGAATTGCTATTGTTAGTGCTGAATACTAATGTTGTAAGGAAAAAAAAAAAATTTTCGGCCTTTAATGTTGTAACTGAGGATTCAATTAGACAATATACCGAACTACCTGTTGAGTTCCTGAGATCTGAGCGTTGGCAAGATCTTTATTTTTTTTTCATTTAATTGTAAATTTCCTTCGTTCTAAAAACATTAATTTTCTTACTGTTGGGCCTCAAGACGTCACTAAATTAAGATCTTGGGGGCTTTGGACTTAAGCCCAGGCCTTCCATTCCCTGGGCTCAACTCAACTAGACCGAAACGCACCGTTTAGCCTTCCCTCCCCAAAATAAGGTTAAATCTCCGGTTCAGTCCCTGAGCTTTCATTTTTGAACTAAATTTACCCTCAAACTTCAAAATGTACTAAAAAAATATCTGAACTTCAATTTTTGAGACCAATTTCGTCATTCTGTCAATTAAGTGCTAATGTGGCGAAATTCTTGGTTAAGAAATTCAATTTTTATTAATATTGAGTATTATGTGGAAATGAAGTAAGTGATATGTCATTTTTTAATTATAAAAGTGTTACGATGTGGCAAATTTTAAAATAAATTATATAAATATAATTTAATAAATAATTATTAAATAAACATTTCTTTCTTTCTTTCTGTTTTTTTCCCCTCCTCTTTCCCTTTTCTCCTCCCCCTGCCTATTGGGTTCGACAGAACCTAGGAGCGGGTTCTTTCGAACTTAGGCCTTGGGTTCCATTTGGAACCCAACATTGGGTTCAACCTAGCACACCTGGGTTCCATTTGGAACGCACCACCTGCGTTCCTTCGAACCCAGCGCCTGGGTTTGATGAAACCCAGGCATGGGTTCTTTCGAACCTAGGCCTTGGGTTCCGTTTGAAACCCAACACTTGGGTTCCGTTTGAAACCCAACACTTGGGTTCCGTTTGAAACCCAACACTTGGGTTCCTTCGAACCTAGCGCCTAGATTTAATCCAGCACGCCTGGGTTCCATTTGGAACCCAACACTGGGTTCAACCCAGCACACTTGGGTTCGATGGAACCCAAGCGTAGGTTCTTTTCTCCTTCTCATTTTCTTCTTCTTTTTTTCTTCTGTTTCTTTATTCTTTTGTTTCTTTGTTGGCTACAATCATGCTTGGCTATCTTGGTATGGGATTTAGAGTTTTGTGTGGCTCTACTTACTTGAATTTCAAGATCTAGCTACTATTGGTGTTGATTGAAGGGATGTTGTATTTTTTGTATTTTCCTTTCTTTTACAGATTTGGTATAAGTTTGCAGTATGATTGATTTTTTGAATCTTTTTAGATTTGGTATAAGTTTGCAATGTAATTGATTTTTTGAATTAGATTTATTGGCCATTATTATTGCACGAGGAACCAGATTTGGGTTCCATTAGAGAGGAGGTTTGGGGAATAAGGAGAGGTTTGGTGATTTGGGTTCCATTTTCCTTTTGGTGATCATGTGTTGATTGGAGTGGTAAGGGATGATGGGAGCCATGAGGGATGATTGGTGCTGAGTGGGTTGCAAGATGAAGAGGCATTAGAGGATAGAGAAAGGCAAGAAGGGAGAAAAAGAGGGGTTGGAAGATGAAGATGGGGGTATTTAAGGAATTTTAATTTTTTTTTAATATATAAATTAATTAAAATGACATGAATAACAAAAATGGCACATTGGGTTAAATTATTTTCCACGTAATTAAAGATTTAAAACAAGAATTGATTTTGTGACAACTTAACGTGACATCTAGCACTTCCGTCGATGGACAGACGAAATTGGTCCCAAAAATTGAAGTTTAGGGATTTTTTTAATATTTTTTGAAGTTTGAGGGTAAATTTAGTTCAAAAATAAAAGTTCAGGGACTGAACCGGGGATTTAACCCCAAAATAATGGCAATTCGTTCCTCTCCATTTCTACTTTTCTCACGGTCTTCCAGCCCCTCGCTGCTCCGCCCGTCATCACCAAGGCCGTCCCCGACGCAGAGAGAGGTGCCGGAGCTCTAATTCTTTAACTGAATTTGAATTTTATCTTTTCTTTTAACTATTTTGATATATTTTTTTTTTAAGTTATTCTTATTCTTAATATCTCAACCTTCGTTGGCAGGGATTATTCAGTTTATTTAATATATTATTGAATATTTTTGGTGTTAATCATCTGTGCCGGTTGAATTTTAGCTTCGGAATGGCGAAGAAGCTTTGTTGGGAGCTCTTTATTAGTAGTAAATACCCGCTTTCTCTCTTCACCTTGGTGCATTGTTAAATGTTATGTATGTTAAACTACTTAAAAATTGTTTTTGTTTATGTAGAGCTGTCATTCTACACCTCAGAAAATGAACTCAAAAGGTTGTTTTCACCATTTGGGGTCGTTAAGCAAGGTGGTCTTTCTCGGTGATATTACTTATGGGATTTTCACTTCGTTCAATATTTTTGGGTAAATTGTGGTGATTGACTTTGTTTCTGTGTTGGGGTTTTTGCCTGAATTTATCCTTGTAGCTCGGTTAATCAGAGACCCAAAAACCCAAAGACCTAAAGGATTTGGTTTTGTCAAATTTGAGAAAGAAGCTGAGGCACAGAAAGCACTGAAAGCCATGAATGGCAGGGTAATTCTTCTCAAACTCAAATCTTAAATTTATCACAACCTCATACTGTATTCGGGCGAATTTGTTTTGTCCATCTAGAATGCAAGAAAGTTAATTTCCCACAATGATTGGTTAGTTTCTGCACTTATCCACTGAGATGTGATCATAATTGAGATGAAATCTGCATCAGTTCAAGAGTCATAGTTTGTTTATTTTAGTTGCTGAATATCGATGCAGGTAGAGAGAGTAGTAACTGTTTTTGAATACCCACAAATTGAAGTCCTCAGTACAAACTATACATAGAAACTTGCTAATAAGCTTGTGTAGGCCAGAATTTTCATTAGGGAGAAAATAAATGCTAGTTTGTCAAATCCTATGGTGGATACAGGACTAGGATCAAATTCCACCTCCATACATCAGAGGGGTTTTTGAGAAAAGGATGTCCAAGGAGATTGTATTCATGGTTCAAGCATTGGACCATTATGCAAAGAATATGGAGGACTCAAAGCATATGCTACTCTTAAATTCTATTCAGTTAGTTACAATTAGTATATATTCAGTTAAATCACTTGACGAAACAGTGACTTACTAAACCAATGAAATGGTTGGTATGTGAGTGTTAATGTGTTATCATTTATCCTCTCCATGAATCCATTGTCATTAGTAATAAATATTTTGTTGTTGATATTTTATTAGAGAATATTGAACTTTATTTTTCTCTATGATCTCTTATAAGATAGTCATATAGGACATGAGAATCATTCCTCTTGATTGAACTTCTTTTTGATATTTTGATAATGAAAATATTTTATCCAGAAGGAACATAGAACCAATTCCTACTTGCTTTGTTGTTTATTTCACATCCAGATCTGGTTTTGACAGTCAATTGAAAGGAAAGCTTGTACATGACAAATTTATTTGAATATTATGTACCTCAGATTCTCAATTAAGCTTTTGATCTTTTGTGCAGATAGTCCAAGGAAGGATGATATTTGTAGAATTTGCTCAAGGTTCTACAGATGAGGCAAACAAAAACACTTGAAAGTAAAATTCTTTTGAAATTTGTTTGAGACTGCTAACATATTACTTTTAAGTTGTATCAGAATCAGACTTTAAGTTGTATCAGAATCAGACTTTCTGAGCTAGAATTGGAGAAGAAACTTTTTTAAGCACTTGATCATTAATCTTCAAGTTCTTTGTTTTTGCATTGAGGTACCATTATTAACCTGTACTCCTGTTATGATAAATCTTCAAATATTTTCAAGATTGACACCAACATTTTTCCAAGTTTTTGCTCTCTTGCTCAAAAGGCCAAGGAAAGAATTATGCGTAAACAGGCAGTTTTTTCTTTCATTCAATTCATTTACTAAGCCCTACACATTCAGAAAAACAAGCTCCTAGAACCAAAAATCACATATAAGGAGATCAAATCAAGAAAACTATATATCTAGAACAACTAGACTTTCTTTGGAGATTTTCCTGCTTTGGCAGGAGAGGTGGGTTCCTTGGTGGCCTTCTCGGTCTTCTTTGGCAAAAGAACAGGATTGATGTTGGGAAGCACGCCGCCGCTAGCAATGGTGACCCCAGCAAGCAGCTTTGCAAGCTCTTCATCATTTCTTATGGCAAGAAGTACGTGTCGTGGGATGATCCTATTTTTCTTGTTGTCTCTTGCCGCATTCCCAGCCAACTCAAGAAGCTGAAGAAAATTCAACGCGATTTAGTCCTGTTCGTTACTAACAAGATGAATGGAAAATGGGAATTCAGATGGGAGAAAGTTACCTCAGCAGCCAAGTACTCTAGCACCGCCGCCATGTAAACTGGAGCACCGGTCCCCACTCGCTGTGCATACCTTCCTTTCTTCAAGTAACGCCCGATCCTTCCGACTGGGAACTGAAGTCCGGCTTTCACCGACCTGGACACTGGCTTCTTCTTCGGACCGCCTCCTCTCCTCCCTCCAGCCCCCTTCTTCACTTTCCCGCCGGTATCCATCGCTAAAACCCCAACTAGTTCCGAGAAAAAATCACTTCAGACGCCGGAGGATGATGATGGAAAACGTGGAAATGGGTGGTTCGTCCATGCTTTTATGTTGGCTTGGCGGGGGTTTTCAATTTTCATTCGAAGCCTCTTTACAGGGGAAGGATGGTAAATAATAACCGTTGATTGGATGCTCATCAACGGCTGAGAGCTGTTTTAGTGCGATCCGTGTGGTTGAAAACTGACCAATGATTTTCAAGCTGGGCTTTTTCGATTTCTATTTTACTGGTGGATATGATTTGGGCGCCACTCCAAATGATTTCAAATTCCCCGCTTTTATTTTCAGAAATTGAAGTTATTGTTTGCCTGTTTGATTTAAAAATTTCTCAGGGTGAATCTGAAATACCAATTTGGTAAAAAAAAATCGAAAATAATATTATGTATTTAACATTTATGCCTGCCAAATATAAGTTTGTCAATTTTTTTGAACAATTTGGTCAAAACATATCAATTAATAAATTCATAAATTTGAAATACCAGTTTGATAAAAAATATTAAAAATAATAGTATAGGTGCGATTATTTTAACCTTTTAGAAATAATTATTAGTTATTTAATTAAACAGATTAAATATTTTAAATTAAAAATATAAATAGTTATCAATTATTAGATATCCGTGATTAGTTATTAATTATTTTGAAAAAACTAATTTAAATAGTTTATTTGTATATTTTCTAGACATTTTCTTATTTTAGGATTTAAAATTAAAACGAATCTTTTTTCCTTTTATTAGCTATTTTATTTAAATTCAATTGGTTTTCTTAATGAGCTTAATTTTGAACTTAATAAAAATTTGTGAGTAATTTGATAATCTTAAAAATTAAATAAATTGTATATTATATACATGTAAAGAGAGTTTGTGGGTAACTTCCAAACTACTGAAGTTTGTTTATTTATTTATTTTTTTAGAAGAAGTGAAACTTAATTTCTAAATGAGTTAAACTAAAACTCAATAAACTTATCAAACCCAATTATGCAAGTCATTCATTCAAGTTCACATGCCAAAAGGGTGAAAGAAGAGTCATATCAGCTCATAATCCAGTAGCCTAGCTACACATTAGCTAGCACCATGCCTTCTAGGTTATTTGATAGGTGCATCTAATATTTTGATAATAATTAAAGTTTGAAGTATGGCACTATAATGCTACAATTTTCCATTTCCCCCAAATTGTACATGTTCAAGAAAAAAAAAAGTTATACATTAGTTGAAGCCTATATATAG